GTTTTAGTAGAGACAGGGTTTCACCATGTTGACCAGGATGGTCTCGATCTCTTGACCTCGTGATCCACCCGCCTCGGCCTCCCAAAGTGCTGGGATTACAGGCTTGAGCCACCGCGCCTGGCCCAGTATTGCATTTTTTTACACAGGTTGTCCAAGCACAGAAGGTGATGCATTCAGGCAGTGAACGGGAAAACCAAACCCACCTCAGGGTTAGCTTTCAAACACAGAGACACTGTCTCTTGTTTTTGTTGGATTCCTTTGGGCAGAAGCTTCACCAAGGGACGAGGATGCACTAGGGATAGAGGAAGGTGTAGTTAGTGAAAAAACTCAATGACTCTAACACAGAGACCCCCCCATAACTTGAGGCCATGCTGTCCTCATTCCTTTGACAGGTAACACATGGCCTTTTCTACTCCTGTGAGCCCTTACAGAGTTCAAGCCATAAACTCCACGGTCTTAAACCTATGACATCTCCCTATTGTGAAAAGAACGACTTCTCTAAGCACCTTTCAAAATTTCCCAGAGTATTACTAAAGGAGAGCTTGGGGCAATGCAAAATGTGAAGATGCCCAGAAAAAGCACAACATTTCTAAAATTCCACATACACCTAACTCAGTAATTCACCTGATTTATTCTAAAAAGACATTTCCCCCAGAATGTTTGGGTAAAACTGACACTACAGAAAGATGCACACTGTTTATTCTGTGGCTTTACCCACAACCAGCACTTGAGAAGTACTTCCTCTTTCCAACACTAGAATTGACTCCTTTTACAATATACACCATCCTAACTTCAATTCATTACTAACATAGAAGCCTATCTCAGACCCCAGTAGTACCTCTTCCTTCTCTTCCAGTGAAACAAGCATAAGGTTCTCACCTCTGTTCTGAAGTCTTGAGCTCACATCTTTCATAATAACCAAGGTCTCCTTGACTTTCTGACTGGGCTGGACCAGGCTTGGCTTGGGCAAGAAGGTGAGGAAGTGCTCCAGCACTAGCTGGTGGATGGTCTTGGGCCCATTAGTGGCATCCCGACGTAGGTCTTGGCCCAGCTTGGAGTCTGGTGGAACTCTCAGTATAAATGACCGCTTTGGCTTTGGGGGCATAGGAACCACTTTTGCAGTCATCATGCCTTGCAAACACACACCACTCGTTTCTGGGGGCCTCCAGAGCTACCTCTTACTGGAAGAAATCTGCTAGAGAGCCAAGCTGTAGACAGAGAAACCAGGGATTACCCATAAGACCAGGGAGGACATGACTGCACTCCAATACCTGGCATGGATAGTAAGGCTACAGGAGATCTAAAGAAAACAACAGCTGGGGGAGGGAAATCATAACTGAAATGCAGTATATGAACAGGATATGCTTAGGAAAATGTGAAAGGAAGATCCTGAGAATGAAAACCAGAGACTGAGCAACCCTCAAGGGCCAAAGGGAAGGGAGTAAAGGTGGCGGGGAGAAGGCCAAGGTCCAGCCTCCTGGGAAATACGAAGTGTGGCCTGGCACCGGTGGCTCACGCCTGTAATCCCAGCACTTTGGAAGGCCCTGGCAGGTGGATCGCTTGAGCCCAGGAGTTCAAGACCAGTCCGCGCAACATAACAAGACCCTAACACACACACACACACACACACACACACACACACACACACACACTCTCTCTCTCTCTCTTTTTTTTTTTTTTTTTTTTTTTACATGTATCTATACATAAAAATTAGCTGGGCATGGTGACGGAAGCCTGTTGTCCCAGCTACTCGGAAGGTGGGAGGATTGCTTGAGCCCAGAAGGTCGAGGATGCAGTGAGCTGTGATCGTGCCAATGCACTCCAGCCTGAGTGACAGAGCAAGACCGTGACTCTAAAAAAAGAAAAGAGAAAGGAAAGGAGGAAGTCAGGGAAGGGAAAGAAAATACAAGGAGAAAGAAACAAAGAAAAGAGAAATACGGCGTGTTAAACCCACCAGGAAAGGTTAAATCAGGCCTGGAGAAAGAGCAACGGGCTAGAAGACGGGAAATCTGGGGTCAATACCGAGGACATCTGCCTAGAAGTACGCTGGTCACTGAATCTGGCCATACTGTACCCCTCGGACCGAAGCTCCCTCCGCTGCCTTTTGGGAGGCGGAGGCGGTTGGCGACTCTCCCGGGGAGCAGACGCAAGGCCAAGGAGGGGTCCACACACCGCCTGCCGACTCCTCTCCGGCGTCAAAGCTCTGCTGAGAGCGGCAGACGACATCCCACTAGGGCCCTTCGGGCCAGGCTCACTCTGGGGCCTCTCCGCTGGTCAAGGAACACTTTTACCATTAAGCCCAGCGGGCGCCCCTGCCTGAGGCGCTAACCAGGCTCCCTACCCGGCCTTGCTCCCTCAGCAACGGACACGCTCCGCTCCCCAGAGGCGGCCTCAGCCTGGTTCCCGCCCTCAAAGAGCCCCTCACCTCTCGGGGCCTCTGCAGCCCCTGAGCGTTCGCTGGGGACGGCTCAGAGACTCAGGCTCCGGGGGAGACAGGAAAACAAGGTGCGATTGGCCAAGCCCTCCCCTCACCCTTCCGAGCGCCCTCACAAGCCGCGGCGACCATTTGTGCGCGCCGCCGCCAGTTGAGGACGCCAGGGACGCAGTGCCTTCTGGGAGGCCGGGCGCTCTGCAGCTGTGACGTCACAACCGGTGCTTTGTTTCCGGTGCAGAAGCCTGGTCTCCCCGTTCGGAGCGCGAAGTCTGAGAAGGCGAGGCTTGAGGCAAGCCAGGGGAGCTCTCAGGGCCAGAGGGAGGCCAGGACGGCTGCAGCCGGTCTCTCTGTGGCTCTGCCTCGAAGGCGGAAGGCAGGAGGCTGGCTCCGGTCATCTATGACGGGCTGGCACCACTCCAGCTACGGCCACTCTAACCCCAGGGCCTACTGGGAAGTGCAGTTCGAATGCAAACAACCAACGAACAACCTCAGGCGCGGCGGTTGGGGCGGGACAGGACCCCACCCCTTGAGGCTTCACCGGAAGCGAGCTACCTCTCGGACTGGAAGATTTGCATCACCCCTCCACGGTTTCCGCCTTCTACTGCGGTTTTCCAGTAAAAAGACTGCGGAGGTGGTGAGGGAGAGCCCGGCATACGACTCCGTCTCTGCTCTGGGGACTGCCATAGGGTAGAGCTAGGGTAATCTGCGTTGCACACTCCAACTTGCTAACTTCTACAGCGGCTGTCTGGTTTTTAAAGAAATGCTAATTGACCGTCTCCTACTGTTTCCTTTCTCATTTCAGCTTCCTACGGAAGCCGAAGAGAGTTCTGTCTTTGTGCGTTGTTTTCATGCTGGATTCATTCCCCAGTGAGGCATTGATCAGGGTTGGGACAACTTGTAGGCAGGGATGGCCTTATTTCTCTGTGTAACACTAGCCTTCAGAAGGTTGACAAAAGTAAAAGTATAAATGAATGTTTCTTCTTAATTATAGCTATTTAACGATGGCTTAAAATATGTTACAAAGAAACGAGTATGAAAACTGCGTGGCACCAAGATACTGTAGAAAAATAAGGAATGTCTGCCTTTTCAGATCAAAATTTACTAAAAAGCCGCCTCTAATCAGAGCAATATGGTTTGAACTATAAAGCAATACAGATAACTGAGATGTCTTGAAGTAAAATATAAACCTGTGTGATTGTATTTTTTAAAACCTTTTTCTTGACTCTGTTAACAAAGGAGAAATAGACTGGAAGATAGTCTTAAAGATTAGCTACACAAAGGATTAGACATTCCCAACAGGAAATGAGCCCCTACCAACTGACCAAAAGCAAAGGCAATGAGGAGCTCTTCCCGAGAGAAGGAAAACTAATTGGTCATTAACATTTGAAAGGATACTTAACCACACTACTAGTCAAGATTATCACTTAAAAGGAACAACAGTTTTCACCTGTCAAACAAAGAAGGTGGATAAATAGGCACTCCTTTGTCTGGTAGTGTGGTGTGTGAAGTCATCTTGTAATACATATTAAAATTAAAAGTACACATATGTACCCTTTGACCTTCAGTCTCATCTGTGAATGTGATATCTACAAATTTCTTGTAGAATTCTTTGTAGTGACAAAAACTAGAAATGACATGCATGTTCCTACATAAGGAAATGAATAAATTGGTGCATTCATACTCTGGAAATTACATAGTTATGAAAAACAATGGATTGGAACTATATGTACACCTGGAGGGATGGCCATAAAATATTACATTTAAAAAGTTTCAGAGCTACATATATTATGCGTAATTATATTTTTGGAACAAACAAAACACCTTGTGTATGTTTGTGTTGAGGGATACACATTAGAGTAGTAAAATGGTTACTCATGGGATGGCCAGGCGCAGTGGCTCCTTCCTGTAATCCCAGCACTTTAGGAGGCCTGAGGTGGGCCGATCACTGGAGGTTAGGAATTGGAGACCAGCCTGGTGAAACCCCATCTCTACTAAAAATACAAAAACTAGCCGGGCTTGGTGGCGGGCCACTGTAATCCCATCTACTTGGGAGGCTGAGGCACAAGAATTGCTTGAACTGAAAATAGAGAAAAGGGGAGATTACACTGTTTTTTCATTTTGTCAGTTCATTTAATGAGCAAGTGTCAATCTGGTAACTAAAAATAATAAAACATTAAAATAGCTGGGCGTGGTAGCTCACGCCTGTAATCCGAGCACTTTGGGAGGCCAAGGTGGGCGGATCACAAGGTCAGGAGATAGAGACCATCCTGACCTACATGGTGAAACTCTGTCTCTACTAAAATGCACAAAATTAGCCGGGCATAATGGCACACACCTGTAATCCCAGCTAGTCTGGAGGCTGAGGCAGGAGAATTGCTTGAACCTGGGAGGCAGAGGTTGCAGTGAGCTGAGATTGCGCCATTGCACTCCAGCCTGGGAGACAGAGCAAGACTCCCTCTCAAAAAAAAAANAAAAAAAAAAAAAATTTTTTTTTTAAAAAAACAAAATAAAAAAATAGAACAGTAAGCCCAGGTGTGGTGGATCATGCCTGTAATCCCAGCACTTTGGGAGGCTGAGGCGGGTGGATCATCTGAGGTCAGGAGTTCGAGACCAGCCTGACTAATGTAGTGAAACCTTGTCTCTACTAAAAAATACAAAATTAGCTGGGTGTAGTGGCATGAGCCTGTAGTTCCAACTACTTGGGAGGTTGAGGCAGGCTAATTGCTTGAACTCAGGAGGCAGAATTGCAGTGAGTGGAGATCGCAGTACTGCACGCCAGCCTGGGTGACAGAGCGAGACTCCTTTGGGGCGGGGGGAGGAAGGAACTATAAAGGTTCTTAAAACAATTTGATAGAATCCTGTTTTTATAATCTAATCTGTCAAATAATTGTCATAAATGGATTTGAAATGATATAAATTAAGGGTGTAAACAATATATATCTCTATAAATGCCTTTTAACATGAAAAGGTGGTTGTCACATATAAAGAAATGAAATTTAAATTAATAATTACAAAAATAACCAGTATTCTGAAAGCAAATTAATACAATTATTTAACAGGGCAATATGGCACTTCCTATTTTAAGAAGTAAAATGTTCATAAACATTGTAACATTGAATTCTCAACTTATTTTAAATAAAACCACACAGTTGGTATAGTTGGTTTGAAATGTTACAAAATTGGTTACATCAGCCAACGATTTGGGAGGCCAAGTTGGGTGGATCACTTGAGGTCAGGAGTTCGAGACCAGCCCGGCCAACATGGTGAAACCCCATCTCTACTAAAAATACAAAAATTAGCTGGATGTAGTGGCACTCGCCTGTAGTTCCAGCTACTCAGGAGGTTGAAGCAGGATAATCGCTTGAACTCAGGAGGCAGAACTGCAGTGAGCCGTGATCGTAGCACTGCACCCTAGCCTGGGTAACAGAGCAAGACTCTGTCTCCAAAAAAAAAAAAAAAAAAGCTAAAAATAAAAATTTGTACCAAAAAAAAAAAAAAAAAATGGTTAAATCATGATATGTTTATACAGTGGAAGCCAACAAAACCATTAAAAAGAGATAAATTAAGTGACAAGGCAAGTTATAAAACAGTATGCATATCTCAAGCAATTCCTAGATAACCACTTATTTAAAAAAAAAAAAAACAGTATGCATAAGTCGCTTTAAAAATAAAATGTTCGGCTCACTATAACCTCCGCCTCCCAGGTTCAAGCAATTCTGC